TTCTTTGTTTCCAGGTCGTGCCTGCATGCTGTGAATAGAGGAATGAACCGAGGGAGGGCTGCTCCTCCATCCTGTGAGGGCTGACGGGATGCCAGCTCCCTTTCCAGCTTATTCCAAGAGAGGATGAAAACAGCGGGGAATGCCCGACCTGCCACGCCAAATTTTTCGGAGAGCTTGCCTATATTTGGAAGCACGCTGAAATGGTTGGTTTGGGATCCTTCCTGTTGCGTTCAGGGATGCTAGTATTGACCACGGCACAGGGGTCACTCCAGTGCACTTCCAGAAGTTAAGAAACGTGAAGGTGGATCAGAACAGGAGCTTGGAGGCGTCCCTCGGACTTTCTTTGCAGGTGCTGCGGGTAAGCACGTTTGCTGAGGATGCCCGTGCATCTCCTGCCCAACTCTGCCCACGCTGCGCTGCCTCCTGCCCGGAGGTGCTGCCTGCAGGCTTCCGGGCACAAAGGCGGTTGCTGCTGGCCGAGCAGCGGTGGGTGCTGCTGGCCAAGCAGCACAGGAGGGAGTCAAGGCTCTCCCTGGTCGTGCTGTTCATAAGTCACTACATTTAAATGCTGTCAGAGCAGGGTGAACCACTTAAAACCAATTAAGTACCTTAATGAATCTTTCCCTGATGGGGTTTCAATTACCTTAAGTAGAAGACAGTATGGAGCGGGAGTGCCGTTAGCCTGAAGGCTATTGTTTAGACTCTTGCTAATTGGATCATGCATTTGAAAATTACTGTGCTCTTATGGGACGAAATATATGATTACTTAGATATCACTTACAGATGTTTTCCAACTCAATCTGTACCTGCGTAAGGCTTGCATTTTTCTGCTTAAAAACCTTTAAATAGGACCTTGCGGGTTATTAACCGCTGCTAATTTGTCCTGCTTGAGATGAGCTATATCTATGCATGCAAATAGATTTTAGGTGAATATATACATGGCTGAAAAATTTTGGGGAATACTTTTTTTAAGAGGCTAGTGTGGAATCTGACAAGCTAGGGTGGATTTTAAGATAATTTTGAAAGAGGATGAATTTTAAATGAGTTTTAGTAGAATTGCTGGAGAATTACTGGGTCAGAATTCGCATCCTATGTTCCTTTAGTTTGGAATGAGGCAAAATAAATTTATTGTGAAGAAGATCAGGACAGACTTTCCTTGTGTAATGTTGTGAGGCACTTGTCGACCAGCACACAGATTTAACTGAAATGCACATCCTGATAGAAAACTACTTAAGAGGTTTTGAAAAAAACTTTAAAAATGCGAACTGTGTGAAGTGTACTAATTCATCATGGGAACCTAATGCTTTTCTGAGCAGAAAACACCTACTGAAGGTTTTTAGAAATGCTTCTCTTATTTTCCTGAAAAATAGGAGGTTTGACTAAAACGGTGTCTGAGCCAGAGGAAAAGGTATTAAACCCGTGTTCTGATCCTAGAGGTGGTGAGGCTGGGTATTACGGGAACGTTCTGCTTTAAAACTGGCGACATGAACAACATTGTGGTTTTTTTTAACGGCTGTTCTGTACCTCTGCACCGCTTGCTATTACTGTAACCTCCCTTTGCTCCAGACAGCTCGGGATTGTGCGTTTAATACAGATAAGTGCAGGGCATTATGCTCGGCAGCAGAGAGATTAACGCACCCACATGGACTGGGCGGCTGCTGGGGCAGCGGGGGACTCGGCGGGGGCTGTGCTGTGTCTGGGGACCCAGCTGAGTCCTGGGGCTGCTGGCCGGGACCTGCCATGCCAGGGATGGGCGCGGGGGGACCTGACCGGCAGGTGGGGGTGCTTCTGTGGAGAGTGGCATGGAGATGGTTTCCCTATAGTGTGTTCAACTCTGGGGCAATCAGCTGAAATAAAAATCAAATTTTATAAAGCATTTTAAGAAGAGCTATAGAAATTTTCAAAGCCTGAAGTAAGAGTATTAATAATAAGTTATAACTTGTAATAAGTTGCAAGTACAGACCTCATAAACATGTTTTTATACATTTATACAGTGCATAAATATGTTAGAAATACATAATTATGATCAGAACAGCTTATTACTTTAACCAAGGATTGCCTAGAAGAAGCAATATAACAGGAAGGCAGTGCCCCCAACCCTAAGCAGGGATCAGTTTGAAGCTTCACTCGCCAGAGCACTATACCCTGGTCCCTTACCCCACGGCCCCCTGGCCGCCTGCCCCCACAGTGGGTGTGGGGTGAGGCATCCCCCCAGGCGCTGCCTTCTCCCCTCTTTCCCTGCAGGAAGGGAGCTCATGCAAAACTGGTAAGTGATTAATCACCAGCCCCTCATAATACAGGGGCTGAGTAGTCTTGGTCTAGCAATATTCACGAGTGGGATGTTGGTCTGTTAGTCCCCAAGTGGGAGACGATTTCTGGTGCTGCAGAGGGCTGGGTGAGAAGCTTGTGGGGCAGAGGGCTCATCCCCTCCGGGAGATGCCCCAGGGCTGCCCACAGCCCTCCCGGAGAGCCAGGCTGGATGTTTGTGCTGCTCCGGCACAGCGTGGTCACCCTTGCTTGGCGAGCTGCTGAGGAAGCCGAGTATTTCCATACAGTCGCAGAAATGCTATATCAATATTTAAAGCCAGCTGGGTAGCTTTGCTTTCAGGGAAGCAATCTTTCTGCATTTTTTATAACGTGAGCCAGGGTCTCCTTACCTGCCAGAATATATAATCATCCAAGAGACAATATCCGATAGCGTTACCTACCTAAATGAGACATTACGGGAACATCTCCCCTCACAATAGCCTGCTGTATGACCAACAATGCTCCATTTAGAGAGGAACAAATTGTCAGCATCTGCTTTTAATTTAGTTTACTTTTAAGTTGACTGATACCTTTTAAGGTCTTTGGGAACAACAGGGTGTTTCTGTGGTTAAGGAAATGATAAACATGGAAGGCTGAGTAAGCACAATATGCCTTTTATACAACTGTTTAAGAACTTTATTTTGCTTTTGTTAGCCAACTTCCAAGTGAAAGAACTTGAAGAATCTTATAAGGCTTGAACTTATGTATCTGTAAAATAAGTATGTATTACTTCAGCTGCTCAGGGTTGATTTAAAGGCTTCTGGAGTTGCTGGAAACCTTTTCCTTTTTGGGAAGTTGTCATGGTTTAACCCCAGCCGGCAACTAAGCACCACACAGCTGCTCGCCCAGACAAAACCAGCACAGAAGTGCTAGAAAGCTTAATGACAAATGAAGTAACGTTTTAGGACAGGCACAGAACTAGAATTTGTTAACAGCTCAAATTTTGAGTCATTTTTCTAGAGTTTTGAAAAATTTCCAGAGAACATTTTAGTGCCATCTCTGCTAAATAGTTTCTGTGGAAGGTAAATCTTATAGGACTTCTTCCCAAAGGGAATGGAACTGCTTTCTTAAAAAGCACCTAAAACGGGCTTTTTTTTACTGTGGACACATCCTGAAACGCAGTGAGCCAGCAGAGTGCTGTTGCTGTGAGCAGGACAATCCCCACGCCGGGCTCCTCAGGGAGACCATGGCCAGCAGACTTTACCCAGGACCGTGTCTGGCTCAGGAGGCCCCCGGCTCCTGAAGGCTTGGGGGGGACCCAGCGGAGACTGCCCGGGTGGCCAGAGGCTGAAGGAACCCAGCTCTAGGAGGGATGGCAAGAGCCGGGCTGGTCCTGGCTGGCCAAGAGGGGACTCAACAGCAGCCTGGGAGTGTCTGGAGGGCAGGTAGGAAAGTGGTGGATCCAACCTCTCCCAGGGAGTGGCAGGTGGTAAGGCAGGGGACACCGGCCACAGCTGGGAGCCAGGGAGCTTTGGGGTGGACATTGGGAAAAGCTTTTTCAGCAGAGGGTGGTGCAGGATGGGAAGAGGCTGCCTGGAGGCTGGGGGAGTCTCCAGCCTTGGGGATCTGCAAGACTCAGGTGGGAAAACTCATCTAGGGCTGGTGACAGACCTGCTGTGAGTGGGAGACTGGGCTAGAGACTTCCAGAGGTCCCTTTTCCCTGATTCTGTGAAGCTCTTCATCCAGCCCCCTGATCCCTCTGCAACTGCTTGCAAGTTGCCTTTCCCTGTGAGACACACACATCCTCCGTGCAGGGCATGGGTGAGCAATTACTCTTCTTTTCAATGCAATGGCTTTAAAATCCTGCTTGTCTTTAGAGGGCTTTTTTCCTCTTTGCCTGCCTCTCTCTCCAAACAAGGATATGTTTGCACTTCTAAAGTGGCTGCTGTTATTAGTGCTGTAATCTCCGTATCAGCTTTTACTTTTCAAATCAGAGAGGGAAATTAATTCAATTCTAGTATCTCCTCCTTTCATACGTTTTCCTGAAACACCATTTGCTCAGCAAACAAATGAATCGGGAAAAGTCATAACTTTGTTCTCATCTTAAGGGTGATCAAGTCCCTGAATTTCTACAAATCTCTTGGAGAATGGAAGTTCCTGCCGGACAGGGCAACCCAGGGAGCTGGAGCACTGCACGTGGGAGGAGGAGGAGTGATGGACCGGCCAGCTCAGCTCTAACGCGGCTGGGTCAGTGAAGACACTGATGCTCCAAGGCCGCATCCAGCAGGAACCGCACTGCAATTTGCTCAGGCAAGCCCACATGGCTGTGGGTTTGCTGTTGAGGTGAGCACACACGTGACTTCACCTACGCTGGCTGAAGCTGTCTGATGTTTACAGCTTTAGTGAGCTGGACATTTTTTTCTGCTACTATCCATCTAAATACCTTGTTTTGTACAAGTCCAGTTTAAGTGCACTGCTTTGCACGTGTTTATATGTTGTTTTTTAAGAACTGTCCTCCTTATTCATTGCAAAACAAAGCCTGCCGGCAAGCGGGAAGCTGCTACAGATGTTTCCATGAGAAGGTTGCAGCTCTTCTTTCTGGTTAAGCTCCGCAGACACATATCTAATTACAGCTTTGTGGCTGGCATGAGGTTATAGAGGGAGGAAAGTGCGCGCTGAAAATCAGTTTAAATGATTTGAGGGCAGTGACTTAGTGCTGGGGGTGCTGCCTTTGCACCGAGGCAGGAAGCAAAATGCTAGCGGCACGCACAGGGACCATGGGGAATAAAAATGCCGAGGAAGTCCTGAAGCTGAGGAAGCAGTCGGTGCATTCCCTGGGGAGCAGGGAGAGACCCCTGAAGAGCTCCTCAGAAAATGGGAAGGAGAGCCGAGCCCGGGCCGGCCAGCCGCAGCAGCATGCCTGGCGGCTGGCTCTGCTGCGGGAGCTGGAGATGAACTGGTACCTGCGGGTCTGTGAGCTCTCCCACGAGTACACCATCGCCTACACCACTGGGATGCCCCACAGGTATGTATCCCACTGGCTATTCAGACAGTAGCAATTTGCACTCCAGGAAATGATGGTGGTGGTGATGATGATAATGATGATGATGATGATAATAATAATAATAGAAAGCTTTTTGGCTTTACGAGTCTGACTTTTCTGATTATTCTTTTTTTTTTTCCTGCACCGCTACGGATGTGCATTACAGAGCTGAAAATTCTGCAAACTTGTTTCTTAGTTTCTGTAACTTCTTCAGCACAAACTGCATGTGGTTATTCAGCCTTATTTCTCACGAGCTGTTTTGTCCAAGTGACTGTAGTTTCATTTGATTTTAGTTGAAAAGTTGCTGCTGTTGTGCAGGGGCTGTGTGGGTGACAGGAGAAAATGGCAGGACAGCCTTTGCTGGGTGCCGCTGGCCCTGGGTCCCCGTCTCCCCCTTCCCTCCCTGGACCCGGGCAGCGGTGGTGGGTCAGCCTGGGAACGAGCCTCTCGGGAGGGGATACCTGCAGCTGCTGAATCTGTCATTCTATCAATTTTAAATGTCACAGCCTCCAGAATCTGATCTTGCCCCTTTAAAAAAATATAAGGGGATCTTGGTATTAGTGGAAATTAGATGTGCGACTCTCTAATCTCCTGTGCTGAGTAAGACCCTAATGAAATAGGAACCTAAATATGAATTGCCTGGCGTTGCTGTCTCAGTCCCACTGTCCCCGAACAGCAGCATCGCGGGGACAGGCGGCCGGGTTTCGCTCAGGGCAGTTTCAGGGACTGGCGGAGGGAGGATGTTTGGTTTCATTCACCTCAAGGGACAGGGCTGCTACCAAAGGGGCTTTTCAGCGTTTTGCCCAGCTCTACACAAATACATCAGTAACAGCAGGGATTTCAGCTGAGAAGTCGGTTGAGATCTTCCCTAATCCCGGGCAGAATGGGGATGCCTGAAGTGCCTGGCACAAACTGAGGTCTTGCAGATGCGCTAGGATTAGAAATTAATAAAAATGTCATTAGAATAAAAATTAGAAACAGGATAACTGAGAGGAAAATGAGGTAAAACTGAGGGATGGAGCAAGTAGTTATTAAGTGCAGAAGGGTCTAACAAGCACAGTGAAGGGAATACGAGTGGGTCTGTAGACTAAGACTGGACAGTTTCTCAGGTAGAGTGCTCATCAGCCACACCAGCCCGTGGTCAGACACCTGTAGTCTTAAACGGCGCTATAAAAGCAAAGTCCTGGGGAATAACTTTTGGGAGAACTAGGTTTCTAATGATGCTGATCCATACAAGCCCCTAAAACTCCAAACCAGTGAAACTCTTATGTCCAAAAAATTGAGAAGATCTTGCAGAAATATTTCTTTGCCGTTGGTTCACCTTGCATTATAGATGAGCAGAGAGCTGGATCTGACAGGAGGTAAAACAAAAGGCAGCTGCAGCAGAGATCACAGCTACAGCCTTTGGTGTTACACTGCTGGGAGGAAAAAATACGGTTCCTACAAAGCAGGCATGGCTGCAGTCACAGGGCACGTTTCCCTCCATTGAGTGTACTGTGTTGCAAAAAGCAGAGCTTGAAAGCACCGCCTGCACTCCACCATTGATGGTTCAGCTCGGTCAGCACCATGAGAACAGGATGCCCCACCTTCGGGCAGCAGTGTGTCAGAGTACCACAGAGCTGGGGGGGCCCCTGGGGCAGCAGGGCAGGACCCCTCCCAGCATCCCAGCCTGGAACACTGGGGACATTGAGGTCCATTAGTTCCCTCAGGGCCCTGATAGAACAGTTACAGAGAAAGAATAACCGGGTAATCCAAATGTCCATGCCAAACACCCCTCTGTGACATTGAATTATAATCTTTTAAAATATATTCTGGGTTTGGGATCAGTCTTTGTTTATCTGCTTTGAAAGATTTAAGGATTAGTTGAGTTTATGATACACCCATCACTTGATTATGTCCTCATGGGGGACTTCAACCATCCCGACATCTGTTGGAGGGACAACACGGCAGGGCATAAGCAATCCAGGAGGTTCCTGGAATGCGTCAATGATAACTTCCTTCTCCAAGTGGTAGAGGAGCCAATGAGGAGAGGTGCTATGCTGGACCTTGTTCTCACCAACAAGGAGGGGCTGGTGGGGAATGTGAAGCTCAAGGGCAGCCTGGGCTGCAGTGACCACGAAATGGTGGAGTTCAAGATCCTTAGGGCACTGAGGAGGGCGCACAGCAAGCTCACTACCCTAGACTTCAGGAGAGCAGACTTTGGCCTCTTCAGGGATCTGCTTAGCAGAGTGCCATGGGACAAAGCCCTGGAGGGAAGAGGGGCCCAAGAAAGCTGGGTAATATTCAAGGATCACCTCCTCCAAGCTCAGGAGCGATGCATCCCAACAAAGAGGAAGTCAGGCAAAAACGCCAGGAGGCCTGCATGGATGAACAAGGAGCTCCTGGACAAACTCAAACACAAAAAGGAAGCCTACAGAGGGTAGAAGCAAGGACAGGTAGCCTGGGAGGAACACAGAGAAATTGTC